GGTACTTAATAATACAAATAATAATATCAAAATATTTTTTTTTTAATTACTCATATTAAATTCTTTGAAACACGTCCTCAACTCACGTTCAAATATTTCCCTTAAATCTCTTTAATCCTTTACCTGACACTCCTGACAGTGAGTTGTTGCCACTGTCTTTTGAACTTTATGTTTGTTAGAATAAGTTTCAAAATCGTCTAAAAATATGTTTTTAAACTGGTTAAAGGGTTAACATACTTCATATACCGTTCGCGATTTATAAATAATCCCTCATTAGCCTCCGTTAAGTCGTTTAATTGCGGTAGATGGCGCCACCGTCCACATTCCGCTTCCGACAAGGACCGGTACCTAGGGTTGCCAACTATACTGTTTTTCACCAAATTATATTTTTTATTGTTGAACAAAAAAAAGTTATACAAAATACTGTTTTCAGCAAACATCACTAGTGTCCATAGGTATTTTTAAAAGTAAATGCCCAATTACATTTAGGTACGCGATTTAGAGCTAAACTGTTTATTGTTTTGAAATACTGTCTGTTTTCCTTCTCCGACCTTAGATATCTACACTAATATTATAAAGAGGAAAACTTTGTTTGTTTGGTTGTAATGAATAGGCTCAAAAACTACTGGACCGTTTTCAAAAATTCTTTCACTATTCGAAACCTACATTATCCACGAGTAACATAGGCTAAATTTTATTTTGGAAAAAAATAGGGTTCAGGGGTCCACGCGCTCGAAGCCGCGGGCGGAAAGCTAGTACTTTATATTTTGAAAAAAAGTTGGCAACCCTACCGGTAGCGGCGGCCGGTCGTCACCGGTAGTTTGCCGGTTAAACTGCTTGTAGCGGTTAAGTTTCTAGGTTTATTATCAAATTTTCGCAATTTTTCGCATATTTGTAACTAAATTAAGCAAACGTTTTTCTAGCCCCCCAATTTTGTGAATTAGACAAAAAGCAAAATGTGTCTCGTAATGTTTTCAATTGAGTAGGTACTCATTTGCTAGAACCAAATGTAAAAAATCTAAAATATAACTCAAAGGTGACTGACTAACTGACTGACATAGTGATCTATCAACGCACAGCCCAAACCACTGAACGGATGGGGCTGAAATTAGGCATGCAGGTAGATATTATGACGTAGGCATCCGCTAAGAAAAGATTTTACGAAACTCCACCCCTAAAGGGGTAAAACGGGATCCACGCGAACGAAGTCGCGGGCGGCCGCTAGTATTCGATAAGTACATACTTCTTTAAATTACGCAGTTTACAATAACAGAATTTATTTTGATTAGATCCTTAAGATCTAAATAAATCTATTTGCATTTCATCATCATCATCAACCGCCCTCTACAGTCCACTGCTGGACTATGAGCCTCCTCCACTATAGTGGAGGGTTTTGCCATAATCTCCACGCTTGGCAGGCGGGTTAGAGATCGCAGTTTAAAAGATTGATGTTTTTCAGAGAGCGCTGCTGCCCGTTCTCTGTTTGATGTGTAGTCCCTATAACACTTATTTACAGTTTGCATTTACTACATCTTATTATGTAAAAACAACTTCAAAAGCTTACATTTTTACAAATAAACACAAGCCTAAAATACGATTTGCATAGAAAAGACATCAACGCGCTAGCGACGCCTACTCTTGAATAGATGTCATATTATTTTGATTGATTAATAACGTTATCGAAAGATTGATTATAATAATAACAAGCATAAAAGCAGGGTAATAAATCACTTTTATTTATGATTGGCACCTAATTTGTCATGTTTATTCACTTTGAATGAATATAAAAGTAATTAATTTTATATAACAAAAACTAAAATAAATGTTAAGATTTCTTGATAATAACTTAGTAAAATAGTCAAGAAAAGGATAAGATCCCACTTAACATCAGGTGCGATTGTGGTCAAATACCTGCCTTGTTATGCATAAAAAAAAGATAGTAAAGGAAAAATATGCTTACATGAATACATATCGAAATAGAACATAAGTGCAGGCTTATTATTTTTTTGTATTTTATTACAAATCTTCTTTAAAGAATTAAGAGTTATTAATGTACCAGGTTTCAAATCAGTTACCATTGTTATTAAAAAATTAACTCGCACAATAACAATATAAAAACATAATAACAATCCGGGCCTTTTCAAGACTAAAGTGAATAGGCACTTACGGGGCAGATATGTACCATCCTAGACTGCATCCCACTTAACACCAGGTGCGATTGCGGTCAAATACATGCCTTGTTCTGCACTAAAAATACTGCTTTCAAAAAAGTAACGACAAGTAGGTACTAATTACACCAAAGCGAAGGCTTTAAAACAAATAGAAAACCTTTCTGTTCCTTTCCTTACATATCTGCAGCGCTTGTAGTCGCGGGGAGTCGAACCAACGACCGGCAAACTGGTCTGTACCGCTCCCCGGCCTTATTAAGGTCGCTGGATGGTTTGTACGGACAGTACATCAAGCTAACCACAGCATCTTATCTCGTTGTATTTATTTAATTTTATTTATTTATATAATTCACTGTGGAGTTTTACCCAAAACGTCCATCAGCGACAGAAGTACATAATACACAACTTACTTAAAATGCGACAGAAAATTGTATACCTCCAAACATGGACCTATAAAAAAGTCGGACGGATTCTCATTAACAAAATACTGTGACATTAGGATACACCAGCTTGCCTGTACGTACAGGCCGGCACGCACACATTCACACCCTGACGCACCACTTCGAGTGCAAACTTCACACAGTTGACACATTTAGGCGGCGAAAAAGCAACACGAATACGACATTTCTTGTGTGATGAAATTGTGTAAAAACCGTTCTGTTCGAACAAACAAAAATAAAATTAAGGAATCACATTTCACTGGTAAAATAATAATCCAATCACTTATTTCCCGACATTAAAATATTGAAATTAATTGAAATCAAACGTCATTCACAAGAAAAAATAATACGTCAAAGACCAGTGTTCTCAGTTATTTACGTGGGAAAATTACCCGAAATATGGGAAATTAATAATAATTTTAGGACTTTTTAGTTGTTTGTTACGCATAATATAGAAATAAAAAAAATTATCATAATAATTGTGTTTTAATGGGATATATTTTCATAGGCAGATTTCATCCTTCCCAAAAATGTGAAACTGCGAAATTAAAATTTTCTTACATTGATTGCAAGTCAGTGTCAGGTCAGGTTGTATGTTAAAATCTATCAGAGAAAATAATAATATATTGATGATGCATAAGATTATGATTTAATGTACACACAATTTGTAATTTGTAACTGCGTGAATCATTTTTGATCAACATTATGTACCTACATACCCTGACACTGACTTGCAAACAATGTTAGAAAATTTGAACATTGAAACGCGCCTACCTCAACGCATTCACCTTTCATCCTTTTCAAATGGCACGGAATAATTCTGTCTACATTTCCAAGTAACATCTGCCGATCTATGTTTTTCTTAAAGTAAATGGGTAAAAATGTTTTGGCTAACATGGCATCCCTAAATTCACTCACACAATAGACAGACGCCAAAATTTTGCGTCACAGTTTTGTTGTAGCGCGAGTTCCGTCCGCCTTTTTTTATAGGTCCATGCCTCCAAAATTGTTAACAGCATTGTTGTGTTCCGGCAGTGTGGCTACTAATTTACCAATATTTCGGGACGTGTACGAGTATTTTCCCTGAAAATGGCTAATTTTTTTAATTAGAAGTGAGGCCCGCATTTTGCAATGGGACGTATAATATAACGTAGTGCTTATTTTGCTTCTTCTACACGTGGTAATCAACCGTTAATTGGATTTTTAATCAATTAGAGCCGTCCCGGTTCAATACCTTGATCTTTTCCGTTATTATTGATTGAAATGGGATCTGTTGTTTATCAAAAACTAAAAACTTCTATCTATTAAACTATTTTTAGGACATCGGGCCTCATATAAAATAAAAAGCTGACTAAACTGACTGAGTTTCTTGCCTTTCTTCTTGAGAAGAAAGAAGGTGCTGAAAGCACGGGTCCCGAAGCAGTGGCCTAGCGTGAATGTGTGTTAACCCTTTAACTGGTATAGATAAAAATATTTTTCATTAGTTTTGTACCTTATGTTTTCTCAATAAGGTTCAAAAATGGTGGCAACAATTGAGAATGTTACTAGGTGTGCAAAATCACTTGAAACCTATGTTACAGTTAAGCTTTTGCATATACAAATACATTGGTTTTTATTTCATTCAAAAATACCAAGTAGTTATGATTTTATAGGCATTCAAAGTTCGCTTAAATATCGAGTCCCGCAAACGGTCACGTGACCCCGCGTGACGTACTTACATTCACAGTGTCCGCTCACTAGACAACGGATATAAACGTACTTAAATACATTTTTTTTGTAAATACATACTTATTATACATATTAACATCCAGACCCATCACAGAAATTAAAATTTAACCAAACCCAAACTTGATGCGATTATGTCTTTTTATTGCGAATTACCTTCCAGCTCCATCATCTGACCCTGATTACTGTATAGAATTGAAGTACTCATCAATACAAAACGAACGAGCCCAAACTCGATGGATTTAAGTAGTTTTATTATAGAGTTCCTATGGCCACCTTCCAGCTCCATCATCAGATCAGCTCCATGTCATCATAATATTGCATGGTCATCTAAATCACATGTGTATGCGAAATTTCAGCTTAATTGGTTGTCCGGAAGTGGGTCTTAATTCAGCTTGCAAGATTCCACCCATACTATTTATGAGCCAGTAACTGTACTATGACGTCACGCGCATAAAATGGCGGGCCGGCCGCCGCCCGCACTTTTAAAATTCAATACCTTGGAAACTAATTGACGTATCGAAATAATTCTTTCACGTGTATTTTTTTATTTTTAACAGAGAATACAGAAAGCTAAAAAACAAAATTAGTGAACATTCTTCATTCTGCCACTACCAGGTAAAGGTTTAAACTCTCAACTAACACAGCCATTCTCTTGTTCCAGGCACCAAAAGATGCAAAGCTCATAGCTCCATAACATCACCATGGGTCCACCTCTCTCCACGTGGCCTTACAGCCACCCGCACAGCCCAAACCGAGTGTGTGACAGTGACAATCAAAAATCGTACTTAGTGACACTAGTTGACAACTTCAGAGTGTTCTGCCTGAACTTCACGTTTGCGTTACTGGTGGTTCAAGTGCTTTTTAGTTGGAACTCTGTGACTGCTGGGCCGGTTATTTTGAACCTGAGTTATGCGCAAGGTACGTATCATTTGTTATTTTTTAAACTAATTCTTAACTGTAATTTGATTTCAAATTATTGATGTTTTTTTAAAGTTTAATTAGTAATTTGTTATTTGGGTGAATATCCCAAACACGTTTTTTACGCGGCGGAGCTGAGAATCGATGGGAGAAATGTAACTAGAGCGATGATTTTTTTTCTGTATATAGTTTATACAGCATTTTACACGATAGCAAAGTCTTCAGGACAATAGGTAGTTATTTTATGTACTAAAAAAATTTTCAAAGACCCAAAATCTAATAGCGGTGGCGCGTCCTAACTCTATTTCTACTCATAAATTGTGTTATTCCTTCTTTCTCGGGGATTCTAGTAATTTAAAAATAGTATAGCTATAAAATACATTAAATAAGACTTCCAAATGATATGAAAGAAATGTGATATTTCATATTTTAAGTGTTTTAAATAGCCTTTCAAAACTGTCCCACGAAAAAAAGCAATTACAGTGGCTCAATTTCGACACTCTCTTACTTCTCCAAAGAAGCTTTGAGAGACGTTGAGTTCTTCTTCCCTGCATCACTCAACTGTGTCCTCCTGATCGGTCTATAAAGACTTGCGACTTGTGGTATTGTTTTTCCAGCAGACCCGTAAATATTTGTATCAGCGGCACAGGAATACAAAATTTTTCAATTTCGCTGGCAAGTGTATGAGTGAAAGCTACTTACTTAGATGCTAAACGATTCTTTAACATGATTAAAGTTTGGTGTTTTGTTGTATCTGCATACAGAAATTATTGATCAGAATTATAGTTTTCTTTATAATTTGAATTTTGTAACAGTTTTTCAATTCCGGTGGCGCAATTTCGGTGGCTCCGGTGGCGAATCTATTGCCGGAATTGGTCTTATTGGCTCTGGAGCATTGTACCTAGGTCTACTAAGGTCTCAGTCATAACTACAATATCGTCAGTGAATCGAAGTTGTGTGATGTACTCGCCGTATCTTGATACTGAGCTCGGTCTAGCTCAGAAGCTTGAAAACCTCTAAGTGGGAGGTAGTGAAGACTTTAAGAGATTATGGTGTCTCCAACTCTGAATAAGTACTACAGTGATGAAATTTGATGGGAATATGTGTTGTATGAACCGCTACAAAATTATGACACTAAATAGTAAAAAAAAGAATTGGGGGTGGGGCCCCCCATACATGTAACTGAGGGATGAAAATTTTTTTTCGATGTACATACCCGTGTGGGGTATCAATGGAAAGGTCTTTTAAAATGATATAAAGTTTTCTAAAAAACATTTTTCTTAAAGTGAACGGTTTTTGAGATATCAGCTCTCAAAGTCGTAAAAAGTATGTCCCCCCCCCTCTATTTTTATAACTACGGGGTATAAAATTCTAAAAAAAATAGAGGTGATGCATGCTAATTAACTCTTTCAACGATTTTTGGTTTGATCAAAGTATCTCTTATAGTTTTTGAGATAGGTTGATTAAATTGACATAATAAGTTTATTATATTTGCTGCTACGGAACCCTTTGTGCGCGAGCCCGACTCGCACTTGGCCGGTTTTTTGGTTTATCGACCAATAAACATGGTGGTATTTAAGAGAACTTTAGTACTAGCATTCCATCTGATTTCATAAGCTCAGTTGTGATTTCATTATCTCCTGGTACATACCTTGTTGTTTTTAATAGGGCATTCTAATCTCACTCAAGCTAAAGTCTAGGATATCTTCGCTTAAGTGTCGGAATAATCTTGATCTTCAGCCTAATTACTAGTAGTGCTTCTTAATCTCTCCTAGCAGCTTAGGCATTTACCAAAATGGTTCTGCTATCCTCGTTATTCATATTGGTATATTCAATTTGGTCCTCGCAAATACATACTTTCGATTTATTACAAAAAATCGTCTCTATAATACACTTTGTATCAGCGTGAGGATCTGGATAGCTATTTATACATCGATACTAAGCAGAATCTTAAAAACAGATGAAAATAGTCCTGAAACAGCTAAACTTTCCCTAGTCTCGTAGGTTGCAATCTATTCTGCCACTCGAGATGAAAATTCGTGGGGCTTTGGAGCTGGATTGGCACTGGTCGTGGCTTAGGCTTCATCAGTCGACAGCTTTTGAGCATCTTTTATTCGGCATTCTTCTATTTCGGTGATGACTTCTTCTTCTTCCTCGGTCCCTCACTGATGAGGATCGCAACCGCAGATAGTGTTCCTTCATAGACTGCGGTCATAAGCTGTGTGGTGATCGGAGAATGCAAATGTGATTAAATTGCCTGTTCGTCTAAAAATGATTACTACATTTTGATTTTTGCAGTACTATTAGGGTGCAGCTCAGTACGCTTTTACAGTTCTGGCATCTTTTGCTAGGCCTTCTCTCTCTATGAGGCTGGCTGGATTTAGTCCTCCGTTTCTTAATTGTACTACTTTCATCTAGCTCATTGTCGCTAGGTTTGCATAGTTTTCCGTTAAATTACCCTGTCACAAATATGTAATGTGTTAGTTCAGTAGCTGGTATAGATCTAGAAATATCTTCATACTTAATCTCCAGTTCGCATGGTCTTTAGCGAATAATTAGTTGCGTAATTCTGAGTATAGGATAGGTATGATACCATCATGAAAACTTGGCTAGCCTGGACCAATATTTTTACTTATGGAAGATAAACCTAACACCAACCTGGGGCAGTTGGTCGCCCTCCCGGGACTAGAGTTGGTTTCTGGGTTTGAGGGTCATGTATGATGTCTTTGTGATGACTCTAGAATAACGGGGCTGTTGGCGGCTAGAGCCAGAAAGTTTTGGATTTGTTCTCTATGGAGGGATTTTGCCGTTATCACCATGCTTAGCAGGCTGGTTGGTAGTTCCAGTATGGTAGTATAATACCCGGAAAGATGCTGCAGCCCACCCTCCAGTATTTTGATTCCTTAGTCGGCTATTACGACTCACGTGGGAAGATTTGATGCTTTTTTAGGGTCACAACACAGGCCTGAATATTGTTTTTAATTATAAACATCTTTACTGGATAATAATACTTAATTGATTACAAATAAATAAGTAATTTGAGACAATCATCCGTAACATTCCGAAGTCCGCTGTATAAATAAATTTCGGTGGATTGGTTCTTAATTCCGGTGGCTCAAATACAATTTCGGTGGCTCTTGATAATTTCAAATTGACATATCTCGAAAAGTATTAATAATATTTTGATCTCTACCATATCATTGAATAATACTAGTTATTTACTATTATTTCTGCCACAAAAAAAGTTTTGGAAAGTGGAAATTAAAATTCGCCACCGGAATTAGGCAAAAAACGAGTTTGTTGATATTCACCCATTTCACAAATTACTAATACTCCCGTTAGCCCTTCGTACTAAGTTAAATATGCTTGTGTCACGAGTGAGCTCACCACAATAGTCGAGCGGCGGCGGGGACCGAACCCGCGTTCCCCGGATCACGAGTCGGCCAGTCCGACCCCTTCACCGTTCGGCTATCGTGGCTTCTATTAGCATTTTACATCAGCTTTAAAATGAGGCCACTTTGGTGAATGTTGGGTAACATAAAGTAATAAAAAAAGAGTTTCAATTAACTCATTAAAATAAGAAAAAATAATTATGAAATAGCTTGAGACCTTTTAAATAGGATTGCGACTCTCTTTGTATACTTTTTTGTCGATACGAAGAATACGTGAGTAAAATATCTGTGTGCCTACCATGAGTTTACGTTAGGTGTGCTCGCTAGCGACTGCGTAAATAAATGACATTTAAATGTATGACATATTGTGCAGCGCCCCTAGTGGCTACTTTCAAGAAATAAAATCTTCATAGAATTTTTTGACGTATTCGCTAGCGAGCTCACCTAACGTAAACTCATGGTAGGCACACTGAAGTTCAAGCTTGTAGTCTGTAATCTGTACTTAATATGTATAAGAACTATATCTTTATTCAATCTCAAACAAAAACAGAAACTTACAAACGTAAAGTACTTTAACGTACTTTAGAATCGTCGCTATAATGTGGTGTTTCTAATTTAACTTTTGCATGCTAATAATTTTAGCTAAACATGTATAGTTCTCACTGTCTGTACCTAACATCTTTATATACCATGTTTAATTGCAAATAAATGATTATGGTTATGATTATGATTAAAAAGGTTAACTTATTTTTACCAGTTCACCCACTGATATTAAAGTGCTGGTCAAACTAAACGCGTGACCTGGATTATCATAATTTACTGTAAATTACCTGTCATTTATATAATATACCGCGTTTTGTTAACAGTATACTAATTTAATATGCGGTAAAATGTACTTGAGTCCTCAACGGGTGAAAGGTACTAAATGTTTATTGTAACAATAAAAATAACGTTATAACAGTTATTCCGTTAATGTTACTGTAATGTTAATGTCAACTGAGAGATTTTAGGTTAGGTATTTCCAGCTATGTCAGAGGCCTAGAGTTCTAGCATTTATTTTGTCAGTGCCTGTGAAATATGGGAGAGACATTGACATATGACGTGACAGATGAATTTGAAGGAGATTTGAAGTCTCGCTGACGTTTTTTTTTATCCTCAACGAGGAAGCTCTTGTGTATCTCACCTGATGGTAAGTGACGATCAGGTCGAAGGTGGAAGCGAGCTTCACCCGGAATCCTCAACCACGGAGGAACTGGCTATCTTACCTCTAACTGCCGGAACACAACAATGCTGTTAACATTGTTGTTATGGCGACAGACTTAGGTAAGATGGTGGTAGCTAGCCAGGCGGACTTGGAACAAGCCCTACCACCAACCAAACCGAACAGAAAAATCTGCTCCACTGGGAATCAAACCCGGGACCTCTGCGTCTGAAGCAGGTGGTCTTACCACTAAACCACAGAGACGTTTTACGTTAAAAAAACACCATCCCATGCCGCCACCATACCTCAAACATTGACTAAGTTAAGAACTAGAGAGAGCTCTATAATAATGAAATTAAAAGATTTGACTAATGGAATCTGATAAGGTTATAAACGTGAGAGCTTTA